ATCTTTTAAGTTTTTTCTTTACTATATATATATATATGGGATGACTATGTATCTATCTTTGCGTGTGTCTGTCGAGACACATGGCAGGAAAAAAATATAACAAAATATTGGTTGATTGTTGCCAAATAGATAGCAAAAGTAGTCGGAAGAGACCAAGTAAAAGATGGAGAGATTAGGGTGAGGTTTTTTTTTTTTGTCAGGGTCGTCAGGGGAGAGGAGAAAATGGAAAAGGCCTTTGTCCTACTGCGAACGCTCGATTGATGATGATGATGATGATGAAATAATTCTTGGCAACTTATCGCTTCGTGCATCCAAATTGTATTTACTAAATGTTCACCCATATACAAGACGCAAGAGCCACTCAAGGTAGATGATTACTGAATGAGTTTGTTGTATGAACGTAAGAGGAGGGAATAAATGAAGGTTAAAACTGCAGTGATCGCGGAAGCGGTTCTCGGGAAAAAGCTCTCTGAGTGGCACTTCTTTCTTACAAATGGAATATGAAGCGAATGAGGGCGATTCGACTTTGTGTGCGTGGCGTGATGGGTATTAGTACAGGTGGGAAGGAATGTAGCACATCTGAACATTTTCCATGGAAATAGCAAGTAGAAAGGGGCTTGTGACGTAGCGTCTGTGAAAAGGGTGCTATCAACGAATATCGATAGGCTGGCATTAATCAGGTAAGAAATAATCAGTTCTGATCAGCTTTGACAGGTAACTTTATTTATGAATAGTCAGTTGTTTGAACATCGCATCATAAATTCCCGCTAACGGAGTGAGAAAATAAGTATTGATACGTGTAGAAAGAAAGAAACAATACATGTAGAAAGAAAGAAAGAAAGAAAGAAAGAAAGAAAGAAAGAAGGCTTGATGTAGAAAGAAAGAAAGAAGGAAGGAAAGAAAGAAAGAAAGAAAGAAAAGTTAGACATAGAAAGAAAGAAAGAAAGAAAGAAAGAAAGAAAGAACGGATACATGTCGAAAGAAAGAAAGAAAGAAAGAAAGAAAGAATGAAAGAAAGAAAGAAAGGATACATGTATAAAGAAAGATAGAAAGAAAAGTTAGGTGTAGAAAAAAGAAAAAAATGATACATGTAGAAAGAAATAGAAATAAATAAATAAATAAATAAAGAAAGAAAGAAAGTCCGATTTGTGATACAGCTAAAAACACAAAAGTCAAAAAGGCTTCCTGTCAGTCGGTGGGGAAGAAAGAGACGGCAAGTGGTGGTGGTGGTGGTGGGGAGTGGAGATTAAACGTGTATAAATGACAGCAGGCGTTAAAGTAGAGGAAAGACATCAAAGCGAAATTATTAGATAAGAATTGATAAGAAGCCTCAAACCCAAAATTGGCCGTAGATGCAACAGTCGCTGATTATTTTGTTTTACTCTCGAGCCAGGTTTCTTTCCGTCAATCTTTTTCAATTTGTCTGGGTCAAACATGGTTTCTACTAATATTGACTAACCCTAATTTAGTAATCTCACCTTTAAAGCACACACACATACACGCACAAAAGACACACACATCAACACACACAAACATGCACGCACACAAATATGTATTTATATATTACATAGTGTACCATGGGTTAATTATCACCATTTTATATTTTTAATCTCGCGCATGCGCATTGTTTGTTTTCGATTTTGTTGACTGCACAGAATAGTAGGGCCAGTTTGGCACCGTCTGTGAGAAAAAAAGAGCACCATGACGCAATTCACTCCGCCAGAAATTTGGAAATGGCATGCTGTACAGCTTGGCATCCGCCTGGAAGTACTTATATGAACATTTCAGAGTGTTTGGGTGTCAATCTGAGGACAGTGCAGAGGATTCGGAAAGAGTAGGATGAGTCTAATGGGGATTACGAAGGTGTTTGGAGCGATCACTAGTGATGGCGACATTATGATTCCATTTATCTTCCCGCAGGGCCTCAAACTCAACAGGGTGGCCTACATCAAATGCCTTGACTAGATAGCCCTGCCCTGGGTCAAAAGGGTGGCTGCTGGAAGAACCTATATCTGGCGACAGGAGTCTGTACAATGCCAGACAAACAAGAGAACCCAGTCATGACTGTCAGACAATTTCTGCGACCGCATGACCCCTTACGTCTGGCCAACTAACTCCCCAGATTGCAACCCCCTTGATTATTATATGTAGGGTGCATTTGAGCGAGAGACCAACAAAACTCCTTGTATCCCCAAAGACGAACTGAAGGTAAGGATTATGGCAGAATTCATCAACTTAAACAAGGAAACCGTCCAGAAGAGTTGCAGTAGATTTTGAAGTCGCCTGGAGGACGTGGTTGAAGCCAATGGCGTTTTTACTGAATAAATTTACTCTTTAGTATTACAAGATATTTTTGTGTAATTTTGGTAAATATGTCTGTTAAAATGAGGTGTCAGAGTCATTTTAATTTTTGGGAAATTCAGACGACAATTTATCCATCGCACCCTATCTATCTATCTATCTATCTATCTATCTATCTATCTATCTATCTACACACAGGGTGCGATGGATAAATTGTCGTCTAAATTACGCAAAAATTTAAATATATATATATGTGTGTGTGTGTGTTTCTTATGACAACTGGAAACAATTTTTTTAAATTCTTCTAAAAGCAAAAATAGAAAGATTACCAAATTGCGCCAAAAATATCATTGAAATAAGAAAAACAGCATAAGTCTACCAAAACCCGTAAACTCTGCCTGGAAGGGAAAATAGCTATAATCAACTTCCCAGGTCAACATAAATTACAAAATAATTTATGATAATGTCAAAATGCAGACACGAAAGGTAATTTTTGCTATGTTACTTAAAAATCGAAAACTAAAATCGAAAACCTTGTAAAATACAACAATGCGAAATTAAAATACATGCATTATATAAAATACATGCATTATATAAAATACATGCATTATATAAAATACATGCATTATATAAAACGCAGATAATGCAGCATACTTTAGACAAAGCCAATACTATCGTCCTCATCTTGGTCGCCATATTTATTACAACGTTTCGGCCGTTGTACGCTTTGGCCTTCTTCAGTTGATTGGAATGTCGAACTGAATTCTTTATTTCACTCGCTGGGGTAAACTGTTCTAGTTCCACGTGCCATGTCTCTTTTTTCTATTACACCCAACGTCGTACGTTTGTTTATTTATTTTTGAAAATAATACTGTCGCGTTCTTTAGGTTTTTAAAAAAAATAAAAAAGGCGTTAAGAGGCCATAAAAATCGCCTGAGGATACCGTAAGGTCGAAACCAAGGAAGCGGATTCAATTGATTTTTAAAGATTTTATATATATATATATATATATATATATATATATATATATATATATACAGTGGGTGAAAACAAATATTCGTACACCTACAAAGATTTAATTTATTGTATTACCAACTAATGAATAAACATAGTTTTCATATAATCAACTGTACACAGATGCATACTAACTAAATATGCATAGAAAACAGAAAAGAATTTTGATTTAATAGAAATAAAATCCCATTTATCCATTTTAATGGATGAAAAAAGTATTCGTACAATAAAAAAAGAATACATAATCTTCATTTAATACTTGGTAGAATAGCTAATATTCACTTCTACAGCAACCAACCTCTTCTTCAATTCATGATTTTCAAAGTTTAGTTGGTATTTTGTTCCATTCTTCTTCGCATATGGTCTTCACATCCGGGATCTTTGTTGGAACTCTCGATTGGATTTGAATTTTCAAATAACGCCATAGATTCTCAAGCGCGTTTTTTATTGTTCATTATTTGTGTCATTTATCGAGCTTTTTCAGCAAATCGGCTTTTAAATGCTTTTAAATAGTATAAGGACTCTTACAGAATGTATTGAAGGAAAGCAGGAAGAATGGACTAAACACCAATTGCAAGAGACTGAAATTATGGTTATCGCTAAAAGGAACAGCAAAACATGCAGCTTACAAGTTGGAGATATCAAAATCAAGCTAATACAACAAGTTAAATATCTTGGAAATGTTTTAACAGAAGACGAAAACTATGACACCAAAATCTTAAGGCACACTTGGATACCGAAAAATTCTTTCCAAAATGTAAGCAAAATATAAATAAACAGAAGAATATTCGTTAGAAACTAATAAAAGAAAACTGAACTGCCAAGTAATATCAATCTTTCTATATGGCTGTGACGCAGCCAAAATGTGGTTCTACAGAAGGATAGTGAGAATACCATGAATGGAACATGTGAGCAAATTCGAAGTTTTACAGAAAATTCAAACAAAAAGCACACTTATACGTAACAGAAATATACAGTTAAAATGCTTTGGTCACATAATATTGTAAGGTACAATATTTCCCTAGAAGTTTGGACTCGGCTGTCGGAAGATATAAAAATACTACTACATCAAGAGGAGTAGCAGAAGGAGCACTATCAGCAGTAGCTTTTGCTGAAAACAGTCATTCACGCCTAAAAATTCTCTTCCTTAGTTTCTATTCTACATTATGTTTCCCTGTACCAAAAAGTAATAAACTTGTTGTTAACCAATTCTAGTTTTCTACTGCTGTTTTTGATAACTCAGTTACAAAAAATGACGAAGAAAGAGGGCTTAGAAAACTTGACACTCACAGGACATATTGATGATAAAAGGGACAGAGTAAAACGACACATGACCTAGTTTTGTAAATGGATGGCAGAAGAGGATTTAGGAGAGACAACAAAAAGACAAAATTTAATAAAAGCTAAAAAGGACAGGAAATTGTGAAGAGCCATGATCGCCAACGGCCTGAAGTGACATGACACATAGAAGAAGAGATGATATTATCATAATTATGTAATAGATTCTATTTCACCGTTTGTGCATTTCAAATATACTTTAAAATAAATACTTAAAAAAATGAATGAAAAATGTACAAACACCATGGATCTTGGGTGTTTCACTTTTCTTTGTTCATGAACGGCCGCACTCATGTAATCAATCATAAGTCTAGAAAATGGCGGAAAAAGATGATGCGCAATTGTAGAAACTTTTTGATGGGTGTAGGTATATTTAAACAAAAGAGGGATATGGGACGTCGAAATAGATTTTTATATCATTTTATATTTTAAAAATCGGAACTGTCAAGCAAGCCACCACTTCTGCCACTAGGAATAATCATGATTTATGCGTTTATATTACAGGCTGTTCCAGTTATATATATATATATATATATATATATATATATATATATATATATATATATATATATATATATATATACACTAGACAGCCGTGAAAAGAAATTTACAGCAATTAACAACAAACCCCGTGAAAAAAGCTAAAGACGTGGCCGAAAATGTTTAGGTCAATAGACATTACAGACAATTTTAAAACTCACGCCCAGCAAAGAGAAAAATTTAAGAAAAAAAAGTCAGTAAAAATTCATCAAATTTTCCGTCTGTCATATTCAACGAAATATGTTTGAAAGATAGGTTACTATACCTCGCAGTCCCTGTTAAATATGTTTGAAAGATAGGTTGCTGCCCAAATATATATATATATATATATATATATATATATATATATATATTGAATTAATTACAAATAATATGTCTGCTTATTTTTATCATAATCCTTTCATATTCACGAATATTTTTCCGTATATTACAATTGAATAAGGCAAGAAAGGCACTACAAAGTGAAAGTACTTGGGAAATAAAAGTGATTCTCCATGTTACGGTGCATTTCGTGGACTGACGATTGCATATAGCATGAAACAGACTGTCGCCTCTAAGTGTTGATTTCTATGTTCACTTTTATATTTACACACGCTCTATCTCTGATATTGAGCTATTTATCCTATAAATATAGCACATCTTAAGACTATATTATAGATTATTTCTTCATATACATATATATATATATATATATATATATATATACAATTGTAAAAGAATGAAGAATAAAATTAAAACTTTCAAAACATTAATTTAAAGCAGGGCTCAGGACAAGAGTACAAGAGTACAGCAATAAATATTTATTATAAACTGTTACATTAGAACATGTAAGTTACTACTACAAAATTGTACATTTTGTTTCGACGTTTAATAAGCAACGTCTCATCAGGTAGTTAACAATGATGGTTACGTCGAAACAAAATGTAACAGTGTATAATAACTATATATATGTGTGCGTGTGTATGTGTGTGTGTGCGTGTAGCTAGCGACTTTCTAAGAGTAATTTAGATGTGGCACAAAGCCGAAAGTATGGAGCACCTCATTCGTAAATGACCGAGCAATACAATTTTGCTGACCATTAAACCACATCCTTTTACAACGATATTCACTCTGTACAATGCCCGAGAGCCACTCGAGTTAGAGATTTACAGCATAGGAGTCACAGTTTATGAGGATATATGGAGAAAAATAGAGGTTGATCCTAGACTTGGACAATTTAAGATTTTGGTGATCTTGGGAGGCTGTTGCCCAAAGTAGCTGCTCGAGTGAAACTTACATGACACCAATGGACTACGAAGGGAATGAGGCTAGTTTGCTACAGTGCTCGTGGCATGGCGAGTCTTAGCTGTGAAGGTGAGACCTGGTGGAACTAAGGAATTGAGTTCGCCTGAACACTTTCCAAATAGCGGTAGAACAGCAAGAGGCTTGCGATGTTTCATCTCAGGGGAAGGAGTTCTAGTATGGAAAATCATTCGTAATCCACAAGGATGCGGAGATCTGAGGAAAGAGACAATTAGAAACATTCAACAAAGTAAGAATCTTCTTTAATGTGCCGTGTTCATCCAGGACGGGAGCGGTCATGGCTCTCCACAACATCTTATCCTTTATATCTCTAAGTAATATTTATCTCGTTACTATACCTCGCAGTCCCTGTTAAAGCATCCATTTACACAAGCTTGTTAGGAAGTTGACTCGATGTTTCTCTCTTCTCTTTTATTATTTCCTGTGTGTATCAGATTCTCCAAGCACTCTTTCCTCAATATATGTCCCATATATTTCATCTGTCTCTTTCTCATTCTGACTTTAAGTGTCGTTTTGATTTCGTTTTCCTTAAATCGTCCTCGTTGCTAACATGTTCTATCCATGGTATTCTCAGTATCCTTCTGTAGAACCACATCTATATTGCCTCAGGTTTCTTTTCCACCTGTGAGGAGAATATTCAGCATTCACTACCATATAGGAAGACGGATATTACATAAAATGTCAGCGCTTTTTTCTTTGTCTCCATCGATATTTTTGCTGTCCTTTAATACTTCTGGAAAGCCTCCTTCGACATCCCAATATGTATTCTCATTTCGATGAATGTAAATTTATAAAGATATTCCTATTTTCTAATAGCATTTTTTTTTAGTGATGTTCATCTTGCATAAGGCCTAGGAGCCACTCAAGTTAAAGGGTTACAGAGTAAGAGGCACAGTTCATGCGGATATGAAAGGAAGATGACGGTTAAACCTAGACTTGAACGGATTAAGATTTTAGAGATCAGGAAACCAGCCTCGGATATGTGTAGAACGCGTCGCAAGAAAA